CCTTTCGGTACGAAAATATCACGATACTGCCGAAGAAATTCCCTTAATTTCCTTTTCTCAATCTGATTCAGAGACTGTCCAGCAACCGCAACCATTTGATCAAATTTATCGTTGGAATTATCAGACGTTGTCGTCTGACGGATTATGGATGTGACAGGTACACAAGTTCCTACTTTTGTCTCTTTCTTGATGGTCACTGGGTAGTCATTGACATTAATAAGTCTCACAGGAATTTCTTTAGCTGAAGTCACTAATTCTTTTCCAATTATGATTCCACGGCCAACTTCGTCGTCATGATTCCAAGGCTCCATCATAACAGGTGTTCCTTCGTCCATAATTCCCTGTAGCCGCGCTACTATTATCGTTTCACTTCTCGCAGGCACGACTGTATCTTCTTTAACTAGTGTTGTCATCATGTGGATGGAGAAATACCTCCTCGTTACCAACTTTGATTACCTTATTCTTAAAATCCAATTGGAATCCATGCGTATTCATTACGTCCATTCCTAATATAACATCCTCTTCGATGTCAGCAACTATAGCAGTATGGACGAACTTTTCTGCTCCAATTCCGAATTGTACCTGAATTTCTCCATGAATGTTGGCATTTTCACCTGTTTCGGTCCGAAGTCGCAACCTCGTTGGTAACAGTTTTTTTTGGCTGTTTATAACTGTCGGGCGAATAATGGTTCTTGTCGCTCCGGTATCCACCAACAACGTATGCTTTTTACCATTTATTTCTCCATCTACATATACACTATCTTCACGACATTTCAAAGAAGCTATTAGTATGAGAGGGTCTTTGGAAAAGTTCTGGGTCGAAGCTGCCCCCCTAAGGCCGACCCTTTCTAGTTTTCCTGATGGTGAGTTTCTTGATTTGTGTCGTACCTAGGATGCTTACATGAACTTCGTACGTGTCCTATTTCGCCACAATTCCAGCATCTTATGGTCTTCGTCTTCTTGTATGTCATGCTTTTCATCATATTAACGAGCTGGTCTAGTTTATCTAGACGACATAATCGTCTTGGGGAAGACATTTGAAGACCATCTGAAGAATTTAGAAAACGTTTTTAATCGACTTAAAGCTGCCCAATTGATGTTAAACCCCAAGAAGTGCCAGCTATTTCAAGGTAAAGTCAATTATCTGGGTCATATAGTCAGTAAAGAAGGAGTGGCCGTGGATAAGGGAAAAATCGATTCTATTAAGGAATGGCCAAAACCAACTGACAAACATCAAGTGAGAAGTTTTCTGGGACTGTGTACTTACTACCGGAGGTTTATTAAGAAGTTTGCAGATATCGCTAAACCATTAACGCGACTTACAGAGGAAGCAAGAGAATACCGCTGGGATGTAGACTGCCAGAATGCCTTTGAAACCTTAAAAAAGCATTTAATCACAGCACCAATTTTAGGGTATCCACTGCCAGAAGGAGAGTTCATCTTAGATACAGATGCAAGTAATGTGGGAATTGGAGGAGTGCTGTCTCAGATTCAAGGAGGACAGGAAAGAGTCCTTGGATATTTTAGTAAAGTCCTCTCAAAACCTGAGCGAAATTATTGCGTCACGAGAAGAGAACTTCTGGCAGTAGTGAAATCAGTAGAGCACTTCTATCAATACCTCTATGGAAGGAAGTTTTTAATCCGAACCGACCATGCCGCCCTTAAGTGGTTGATGCAGTTTAAGAATCCAGAGGGTCAGATAGCCAGGTGGATCGAACGACTCCAAGAATATGATTTTAAGATTGAGCACCGGGCCGGAGTTAGCCACCGAAACGCCGATTCTCTTTCCAGAAGGCCATGCCCAGCAGAGTGTTCTCACTGCAACAAAACGGAATCCAAGGAAGCAGCAGTGCTAAGAACGACGGTGGTCCACGACGACTGGACGCCTACCAAGATCAGGGAAGAACAAGAGAGAGATCCAGTTATACAGAAAATCCGAAAATGGAAAGAGGAAAACCGTCGACCACCTTGGCAAGAAATATCGAACCTAGGCTCAATAGTTAAGACGTATTGGGCCCAGTGGGACTCATTTATCATGGAAGATGGCTTGCTCAAACGAGTCCTGGAAAATGATGACGGTTCAGAGAAGAGAAGACAGTTGGTGATTCCAAAGAGCAGAATAGCCGAAGTACTTCGTCAGTTACACGACAGTCCATCAGGAGGGCATTTTGGTGTGAAAAAGACCCTTCAGCGAATTCGGGAACGGTTTTATTGGATGAACAGTTCCGACGATGTAAAAGACTGGTGTAAGAAATGTACTATTTGTGCTACGAGTAACGGGCCTTATCGAAAAAGGAGAGCTCCTATGAGACAATATAATGTTGGAAGCCCGTTTGAAAGAATAGCTTTGGACATTGCTGGGCCGTTTCCAGAAAGTGATAATGGAGGCAAGTACATGTTGGTAGTAATGGATTACTTCACTAAGTGGGTCGAGATTTACGCACTTCCAGACCAGAAGGCGGCCACCGTTGCAGATAAGTTGATCCAAGAATATATCAGCCGATTTGGAGTGCCTTTGGAGATCCATAGTGACCAAGGCAGGAACTTCGAAAGCGATTTATTCCAAGGAATATGTGATAGACTAGGTATGAAGAAAACAAGGACTACGGCTTATCATCCGCAATCGGATGGTATGGTAGAACGAATGAATAGAACAGTTGGCAAGTATTTGACAAAGATGGTGTCCGATCATCAGCGAGACTGGGACCAATATCTCCCGTTCTTCACAATGGCCTACAGATCTGCTGTTAATGAATCAACAGGCCAGACACCAGCCAAAGTCCTATTCGGACGCGAGATGCGACTACCTTGTGATCTAGAGTTTGGGTGTCGACCTGGAGAAGATGTAGCAGGTGAAGATTATGTGATCGAATTACGAAGAAGAATGGACGATGTACACGAGTTGGTCCGTTCCCATCTCCAGATCGCTAGTGACCGAATGAAGAAACGGTACGATACGCAAGCCGAAAAGGGGTGTTTTAAGAAGAACGATAAAGTCTGGCTTTATAACCCCAAAAAGCGAAAAGGTTGTTCTCCCAAATTGCAGCAGTTTTGGGAAGGTCCATACCTCATTATGGAGAAGATCAATGATGTTATTTACCGAATAAGCAAGATTCCGAGAGGAAAGCCGATGATAGTACACCATAACCGGCTGGCGTCTTTCGAGGGTGACCACGACGTAGATGAAGAAGTGGAAGTAAACCAAGTCCAAGATGTGTCTGACCTCACGTTTGAGGAATTCATGGGTGCCTATGGAGGTACCGGTAAAGCAAGACATGGTGTTACCACTGAAGAAAGGCAAGATCTACTCGCGCTTCCCGATGACTACTCACTGGCCCTTACCATCCCGGCCAGTATCAAAGACGCACCAGGGTTGGCATCCGTCTTTCGAAGGAAGTTTGGTCGAGTTGCAGAACTTCAATGCCAAGTGCCAGCTCCTGGTAAAACCTTGAAACTCCAAGATGCATCACGTTACCTTTTCTACCTGGTAACAAAAGACACTGCCCGTGACCAACCTACCTACCGAGATGTATGGGAAGCCTTACTTCAGTTGGGAGAGCACGTACTAGAGTCCGACGTGCAAAAGTTAGCCATGCCAAAGTTGGAGTGCCGCCAATTAGATTGGAGGGTTATCCGAAATATGGTGGAGGAGATGTTTAAAGACACCGAAGTCCAGGTGTTAGTCTGTTGCAATCCTCATAGTTACTGGTGCGGAGAGAAAACCGTCCCTTGTCATTTCTATACAACTGGAAGTTGTAAAAGAGGGTCCAGTTGCCGATATCAGCATGTCGTTCCAGTTCCAGTCCCGACAAGGTTCCAGGAGGAACCATCTTTTAAGAGGGGGGCAATGTTACGATTTTAAATGTTATGGCATATAGACCTGTAAATATTTTATGACTAATCCTTTTTTATTGAATCTCGTAATTTGTAGGTCAAAATATACCTGAGCTTCGATACCAGTTATTTACAGAAATATCTAGACCCTTCTACAAGAAAGGTCGAGTATTCAGGAATGCAGTCGACGGCCGAGAATGACTCACCTAATGGATGGAAAGATCGATGCCTAGCCAGATTTCTCTAGATAACGGCATTTTGATGTATAAATAACGGTGATCCTCATTGAGGGGAGTCAGTCAAAAGAAGATCGGGAAACCGCGATATTTAAATGTAACGAAACATAAATTATTATTTGTAATATAAATTAGAATTAATAAAGACTTTAATAAATTCGTAATTAGTTATCGTGAGTTTTAATAAATTAGAATATAGACAATAAATTAGAATAAAGACAAATAAATTAGAACTATATAAACTTCACAGGTAATTTCAAAAAGCTAAGCATGAATGATTACTTTTCATTTTTAAAAATAGACATAAATTCTTGAAACACATAACAATCCATAATAGATGAAACAATCTCATAAACTATAATATACCAATACATAGACTAACAGCATCTGAGAAATCCACACAATATGCCTGCATTAAATTCCTTAATAAACTGCCTTACAGCATCAAAATAGAAACCTTCAACCATACAAAGTGGAAGAATACCTTCAAGCTGACCTGTGGGGAGACTAAGGGCTCTTATCTGAATTTAAATGTCACTTTTATTATTATTATATTTTAATATTACTTTTATGTTAAGTGTAGATTGTTACAGCAACCATTATAAATTGTAATTGACACCATTCTCTCTATTGACAATTTATATTTGTGTGTAACTTGTGAATCCTAAGAATAAAGCTTTTTTCTATTCTATTCATAATGAGAAATGACAAATATAACCAGCTAAGGATAATAATTGAAGGAAACACAGAAGGCTGAAAAGCCACTTCATGGCTTTGCAATATCAGAACTTGGTCAGGCATGAATGTTCAACATTTATTAAGAGTTCTGTAGAATAGAGAACATTTTGATGTAGCGATCGCAAATGCAATGAGATATGAAAAATATTATCTTTAAAATCAACCATATATATCAGCAATAGAACTCCATATAAAGAAAAACCCCCATATTAAGTTTTTATTTACAATACGTTAATCTATAAAAAAAGTGGCGAATTTTTTAGAAGTTCCAACTGTCAAAAGTGAAAAATCACTATGAATACACTATACACATTTAAACACACATTCTACTGTAACATCTTCTCAAGTTCATGGATTAAAACAATGAGATCATTCTTTCTCTTAACTTTAACAAGTTGCTCTGGTTCAGGTTTGGCAAGTGTACCATTATTAATTTTTTCCTCCAGTAACTCAACTTCCCTGAGTCTCTTCTTGAGGTTTTTCAGTTTCTTTTGAGGATCAGTGTTAGCTTCTTGAGCATTGCTATCTTGAGCAGGTTTAGGATCTTTTCTAGCTGGCTTGGCAGACTTTTGTTTGGGAGGTTCGGAGATCTTGATATTGCCTATAAGTTTTTCAACTTCTTGTGTTTCTACAAAATAAAAAAGGAAAAAATTAATACCAAAATTTAAAATGTGTTATTACAATAACTAGGAGTGGTAATAAAAGAGAGCAGAAAACATAAACTGAGATCAACAAATGAACTACCTAGAAGTTACTAAATATGGCAAAAATTTGTAGAATTAAAATTATTCATGAAAAAAATGCAATATTTTAAAAATTAATTTAAATATTATTAAAAATAAATAAATATTATCGTAATAATCAATATGAAACTCGGGCATCTTTAGTTAACTTACTCTTTTTTGGTTTTTTCTTTTTCTCAACCTCATCTTCAACAATGTAGAGCCCGGGAATAGTGGCCTTTTTGGCAACTTGCCCTGAAGCGAGCACAACAGGTTCATTTTTTCTGTTCAAAATTTGTTTTCCCTTGCTTTCGTATAAAGGTACTTCTTCTTGGGGTACATATCCTTCTTTGACTCTTCTCGCTTTTCGCCAAGTGCCGTCAGGTCTTTGTGTTGCTGGTATGTATTGTTCGCCTATAAAAGTAGATTAGTAAATAATTCGTCTTTTTATTATTGTTTTCTTACCGTTTTCTGTAACGACATTATTATTTGCCACTGACATGTTTACAAGGATGGTATTGATTTTACTTGTTTTTTAATTATAAAGACATTATTTGTACAATTATTTAAATGTTATAGTAGATATAGAGTTTTCTTATTTAAGATATTAAAATATCTTTTAATTGAGATTAGTTTTAAAGCTATTCAAAAACCTAAAAATAATTTTTAGATTACTTAGGTTATGGTTATGGACGAAAACGAAACTGACTGCATGTCAAGATGTCAAAATTGTCAAATACAAATTCAAAAAGGAAAAAATTTAAATGTCTGTTTTGTGTAGAAGCTGATGTTCGATAGATGGCTCTGTAAGAATAAATAATTAAAATTAAAATTTTGTTTCGTAAAAAACGAAAAAAACATTTGTAAAATGTAAATATTTTTAAAATTGAATAAAGTAGTTTTATTATTTATTTATTTTTTATATCTTAAACAAATTCAATAAATTATTATGTTTGCTTCTAACGCCAAACTATAATATGTTTACTTCAAAAAAATCCGCGTCGTCTCTGGTGTGAAGTAATAAAATTTTACCTTTTTTTCTAGATTTTTTCGAATGGGAATGTAGGGAGTATCATAATATTAATATTTGAGCCGCGTAGTTATAAGCAGTCGAATAGAAATAAAACTTTAAAGCCACTTGTGTATTTTAATACGAAAGTAATATTTTTGTCATTGAAATTTAATTTTGTAATATTGTGAACCAAGGAATCTTTCGCAGGAAGTAACTATGAGATGTTCCAAAAGTGACATGGACCATATTTTACGGCCTTTCGTAGATGCGCTTAAAATACCTGTAATACAATGTTTGGCAGATAATCTGCCTTAAATGTGCTCTTTGAAAGCCTTGTTGTGGTGGGTTGTTTACTGTTGCTCTTTCCAGAACTGCTAAAATGGAGGTTTCCGTACACTTTGTGTGTTCTATTTGGATTTCAGGGAATCCTGCACACTACCACCATTATTATTGACAATAACGTCTCATATTTTTATAATTTCGTGGCTTCTGCTATCACAGCTGATTTTTTCTTTTCTGTTGGGGTTCTTGGAGCACAGACCTCTTCTCTTTTTTTATTGTTTTTCTTCGGGATTCATATTGTTCCTACGGGGGACAGTATGAATCCCACGCTAGGGAAATATTTGATTCGCTTTCGTCTGATTTCCAGATATACCCGTTAAAGTCTGGTAACTAACTAGCGTTTCAGCCCTTAGAGCTTAAGAATACACCTTGACTTTTATGTAGGTCGTTCTTAATTTTACTTCAATTTAGTCACCATTAGAATCAGAAACTAGCAGCTACACTTTTTGTAAAATTTCATTTAATCTATCTATCATTTTTTGCTTGTTCTACGTTTGCTCCTCTTTCTTTCTGTTCTCTTTGCTTCTGTTATCCTGTTTATTACATTGTTTTGACTTTCCTCATTGTGCGTACTACTTTCTGTTATTTCTTGTGGTCCCACATACTTTAATTTTGCTGTCTTTATCATAGAATTTATAAGTTTTCCCTATCCTTCTACTATTTGTGTCAGTTCTCCTTCTGTGTTCATTTCCTTCTCTAATTCCTCCTTGTATCTGAATTTCTTTGTTTTCCCCTTTATGTATTTTAATTATTTCTTATTCTTGTTCTCTGTAATTTTTATTTCTATTCTTTTGTTGTTACATGTAGTTTCCAGTAGGTAGTGGTCGCTGCCTACTTCCTAGCTGCTTTTTACCCTTACGTCTCTTATCCAGCTTTCCTGTTTTTGTACTATAGTCAATAATTGTTTTTTTATTTCTTGATTTGACTTTTCCTGTGATCTTAACTATCTTTTTAGGTTGAAAATATGTATTCATCATTATCATGTTATTGTCTAAATAGAATTCAAGTAATACCTACTTTTCCCTCCGTATGGTCCTGTGATATCGTTCTATTTTTCTACTTCTGTTTTTACTCTAGCGTAGCATTCATATCTCTTGTGATTATATCCTATTTTAGCTGTATAACAAGTTTTTACTTCTTTGCGATAGGTAGTCCTTTATTATTGTGAAGTTTGTATAGTTCTAATTTATTTGTCTTTATTCTAATTTATTGTCTATATTCTAATTTATTAAAACTCACGATAACTAATTACGAATTTATTAAAGTCTTTATTAATTTATATTACAAATAATAATTTATGTTTCGTTACATTTAAATATCGCGGTTGCCGAGCTTCTTAAATGACTGACTGCCAAATAAAAATCTTTCATTTATATACACAACTGTTGTCATCCAGAGAATTCGGCGGACTTCCTGAATAGTCTCGTATTTTGGTGAAGGCGCTCGACTCGTTTTTCAACCTCGAGACGTGGATGACTCATTAGTGTTAGTGTCTAGAGATTTCTGGTAAACAACTGGTAGCTAAGCTCAGGTATATTTTGACCTACAAATTACGAGAATAAATAAAAAGAATTAGTCATAAAATATTTACAGTTCTATACGCCATAACATTTAAAATCGTAACATTGCCCCCCTCTTAAAAGATGGTTCCTCCTGGAACCTTGTCGGGACTGGAACTTGAACGACATGCTGATATCGGCAACTGGACCCTCTTTTACAACTTCCAGTTGTATAGAAATGACAAGGGACGGTTTTCTCTCCGCAGCAGTAACTATGCGGATTGCAACAGACTAACACCTGGACTTCGGTGTCTTTAAAGATTTCCTCCACCATGTTTCGTATAACCCTCCAATCTAATTGGCGGCACTCCAACTTTGGCATGGCTAACTTTTGCACGTCGGATTCTAGTACGTGCTCTCTCAACTGAAGTAAGGCTTCCCATACATCTCGGTAGGTAGGTTGGTCACGGGCAGTGTCTTTTGTTACCAGGTAGAAAAGGTAACGTGATGCATCTTGAAGTTTCAAGGTTTTACCAGGAGCTGGCACTTGGCATTGAAGTTCTGCAACTCGACCAAACTTCCTTCGAAAGACGGATGCCAACCCTGGTGCATCTTTGATACTGGCCGGGATGGTAAGGGCCAGTGAGTAGTCATCGGGAAGTGCGAGTAGATCTTGCCTTTCTTCAGTGGTAACACCATGTCTTGCTTTACCGGTACCTCCATAGGCACCCATGAATTCCTCAAACGTGAGGTCAGACACATCTTGGACTTGGTTTACTTCCACTTCTTCATCTACGTCGTGGTCACCCTCGAAAGACGCCAGCCGGTTATGGTGTACTATCATCGGCTTTCCTCTCGGAATCTTGCTTATTCGGTAAATCACATCATTGATCTTCTCCATAATGAGGTATGGACCTTCCCAAAACTGCTGCAATTTGGGAGAACAACCTTTTCGCTTTTTGGGGTTATAAAGCCAGACTTTATCGTTCTTCTTAAAACACCCCTTTTCGGCTTGCGTATCGTACCGTTTCTTCATTCGGTCACTAGCGATCTGGAGATGGGAACGGACCAACTCGTGTACATCGTCCATTCTTCTTCGTAATTCGATCACATAATCTTCACCTGCTACATCTTCTCCAGGTCGACACCCAAACTCTAGATCACAAGGTAGTCGCATCTCGCGTCCGAATAGGACTTTGGCTGGTGTCTGGCCTGTTGATTCATTAACAGCAGATCTGTAGGCCATTGTGAAGAACGGGAGATATTGGTCCCAGTCTCGCTGATGATCGGACACCATCTTTGTCAAATACTTGCCAACTGTTCTATTCATTCGTTCTACCATACCATCCGATTGCGGATGATAAGCCGTAGTCCTTGTTTTCTTCATACCTAGTCTATCACATATTCCTTGGAATAAATCGCTTTCGAAGTTCCTGCCTTGGTCACTATGGATCTCCAAAGGCACTCCAAATCGGCTGATATATTCTTGGATCAACTTATCTGCAACGGTGGCCGCCTTCTGGTCTGGAAGTGCGTAAATCTCGACCCACTTAGTGAAGTAATCCATTACTACCAACATGTACTTGCCTCCATTATCACTTTCTGGAAACGGCCCAGCAATGTCCAAAGCTATTCTTTCAAACGGGCTTCCAACATTATATTGTCTCATAGGAGCTCTCCTTTTTCGATAAGGCCCGTTACTCGTAGCACAAATAGTACATTTCTTACACCAGTCTTTTACATCGTCGGAACTGTTCATCCAATAAAACCGTTCCCGAATTCGCTGAAGGGTCTTTTTCACACCAAAATGTCCTCCTGATGGACTGTCGTGTAACTGACGAAGTACTTCGGCTATTCTGCTCTTTGGAATCACCAACTGTCTTCTCTTCTCTGAACCGTCATCATTTTCCAGGACTCGTTTGAGCAAGCCATCTTCCATGATAAATGAGTCCCACTGGGCCCAATACGTCTTAACTACTGAGCCTAGGTTCGATATTTCTTGCCAAGGTGGTCGACGGTTTTCCTCTTTCCATTTTCGGATTTTCTGTATAACTGGATCTCTCTCTTGTTCTTCCCTGATCTTGGTAGGCGTCCAGTCGTCGTGGACCACCGTCGTTCTTAGCACTGCTGCTTCCTTGGATTCCGTTTTGTTGCAGTGAGAACACTCTGCTGGGCATGGCCTTCTGGAAAGAGAATCAGCGTTTCGGTGGCTAACTCCGGCCCGGTGCTCAATCTTAAAATCATATTCTTGGAGTCGTTCGATCCACCTGGCTATCTGACCCTCTGGATTCTTAAACTGCATCAACCACTTAAGGGCGGCATGGTCGGTTCGGATTAAAAACTTCCTTCCATAGAGGTATTGATAGAAGTGCTCTACTGATTTCACTACTGCCAGAAGTTCTCTTCTCGTGACGCAATAATTTCGCTCAGGTTTTGAGAGAACTTTACTAAAATATCCAAGGACTCTTTCCTGTCCTCCTTGAATCTGAGACAGCACTCCTCCAATTCCCACATTACTTGCATCTGTATCTAAGATGAACTCTCCTTCTGGCAGTGGATACCCTAAAATTGGTGCTGTGATTAAATGCTTTTTTAAGGTTTCAAAGGCATTCTGGCAGTCTACATCCCAGCGGTATTCTCTTGCTTCCTCTGTAAGTCGCGTTAATGGTTTAGCGATATCTGCAAACTTCTTAATGAACCTCCGGTAGTAAGTACACAGTCCCAGAAAACTTCTCACTTGATGTTTGTCAGTTGGTTTTGGCCATTCCTTAATAGAATCGATTTTTCCCTTATCCACGGCCACTCCTTCTTTACTGACTATATGACCCAGATAATTGACTTTAC